TTATCCCAAATGAATGTAGGAATGATCTCAAGTCCTCTAATTAACTGAATATCTCTTGGGTCCATAAACTCTTGGAATATTGAAAGGTATCATTCCTTCGTTTCGAAATTGTATAAACGATTAAACTCTAAATTTGGGTGCAAAACCCTTCCTCTATCCCGTGCCGGTCTAGGCAAGGAATCCGGAATCGATGAATTATGCCAGACGGTTTTTAATAAAATAATTAGGAAAAATGATTGTTCAACTGCGGTTCATTTTAACAAAGGAATAGAGTTATCCGCACCATATAATCAATGAACATCAATTATGGTGCGCTATTGTAGCAGGTGCGGTTTAACAAAAAATACAAAAAGAGCTTTAAATGTTTTGGAAAAAATTATGAAAGTTAATAGCATGAATCAATGCAATTTTGGAAGGATAATTATTTATTATACGGATTCCACTTTGAATTAAAACTCATTTGAACTTTCAATAGTTTTTTAAAGCAATAATATTTTATCCTATCAATTTCATTTTTTAAATTCTATAATATTAAAATATTTTATTCATTTTGTATTATATTAACCTTTTTATTAAAAAGAAATATTTTTGTATATTAAAAATTCAAATTATTTACTTGTAATTTTTTTTCTTAAATTATATATAGAAATTGTTCATCAATTAATAAATCGGCTGATTTATAATAGTAATAATATCATTGTTTCATTTTATTTCGTAAAATTATCATCTAAAATATATATTTCAAACTATTTTGTCGTTTTATTTAGTAATCACGTCACTACTCAATTGTATTTCCTAAAATTATTATCTACAATATATTTTTCAAACCGTTTTTTTTCACCAATCAAACAATTGTTTTGTACTGTATATTATTTTTTTCACCACTCAAACATTTTTTCGTCTCGCTTTTTTCACACAAACCGCACTTGATCCGCAAATACATTTTTCTCGAACGATCCGCAGTTGTACCGTTCCGCACCGCACAATTTTTTTATCCACACCGCTCAATTTAGTGTCTCCAATCAAAGCCTTAATTGTTCTTGTTTAAGCTTACTAGAAAACAGAGTGTGTTCTGTTTTCGTGTAATGTGTTGAGAAAAAGAAGTTAGTTCTTAAGTTCCTAAGGTCAAGAACGAGCAAAGACAATTTTCAGTGGATTTCTTTTTTGGTCCGAGACCTCAAGAATTGGTATCAAACTCCTGCAGCACAAAAGGGTAGCTAGATCCAGGCAAAACGTGTCTCAACATGTCTCCGGTAAGGAAAGAGATTAAGAAACTCGATGCTATGGAAAAGGAAGATCTTGTTCATCAGTAGAACAAAATAGGATTTGAATTTTGATTAAATCAACCAACTCATAGGGGAGAGTATATATAAGTACTTATATCCGAATATTAACAAAATGCATAATATTCGTCTATGCTTCATTTTATCTTTACAACATATATCGAACCCGAAGTTAATCTCCTAAGAGGTACTACTTGTTGTTACAACAGAAGAAGCCTCCGGCTGAGCCTCACTGGCCATAGTTTCCAGCAGCGAGGTTTCTTGCTGAGTCACCGGTGGAGTTTCCGGCGGTGAAGTTTCTTGCTGAGCTACCGGTGGAGCTTCTGTTAGGGCGGGGGCAGAAGTTTGAACGATTTCTGAAGGCTTGAATTTGTTGATGTAGTAGCTAAGAGACGGTCCACTGTAATCCACTGTTTTTGGTCGAGCCAGGGAGTCTTTTCCGACTTGGAGGAGTATAGATGAAGCCGCAGCGAGTGAAACAAGAGCAACGCCTGCTACGATTGCCGCTGTGTTCTCAGCCCCATCAGACGAAGATCCTGCAGTACCTGAGCTAATCGCGCTCTCTGCAACATATACTGCAGGCTGCAAAATTAACAGGAAAAGATAGAATTCGATTAAGAACCCCATCTCAAGAAGATGAAGGATTTGCATTGACATATTTTGTCGCAAGCTAATACAAATTCTGTCGAGGTGGAGGTTGATGACAGAATAATGGAACAAACACAAAAAACCCACAAAAATCAAACGAGACCAAATGTAACACGAAAACTGATAAGACCAAGAAGTCGTAATATTCTTAATTATCCTTGAACCATCGATTGCAATGAACAACCGATGATCAAACTCTACAAAAGAGTTACCTTGGAGATTTGTTGAAGAGATCTCCCAAACAAGAAACTGGTCAAAGACCCTCCTAATCTCTTCTTCCTTCTGCCTATTTATATTTGCTTATTACGCGCAATCACTACATTCAAATTCCCATCACAAATCATAACAACGGTTCCCTCGACATAAGAAAGCTTGAAGCTTTTTCCCTCAATTGAAAACCTCTCTTAGTTTTGGATGAGTCTTACATACAACCAGGACTTGTTCCCTATATGTACTAAAGTAGGAAAAGACTCTAAAGTTAAACAAGTAACATGAAACTAATACTACAAAGGTGAAGAATGTACAAACCTCAATGGAGTAAACATTAGTCTGACCAGCAGTATCTTTCTCAACATAACCAGTCCAACCACGTTGCTTCCGAGGAGGAAATGTTCCCACCACTTTTGTCTTCTCTCCAGCCAACCATTCCATACTCACTGTTCCAACCTGTGTTTGTTTCACCCACCAAACTCAAGTTCAGAGAGATCAATTGTACGATTCCTAGTACTTCTGTAATAATCACTTCAATTCATAAAAACACCAATTCTAGTGGTATTGAGAAGTCTAGTCATGAATTGTATCGAATAAGCAGAGCATTCATATTACCATTCTTCAATTCTGACATGAAATTGAACAAATCGATTCGTACCTCTTTCTCAGGAGCACATTCTTCGGCATTACAATCAGCATCATCGGAAGAAGCTCTAACGACGGAGAGGAGAACTTTCCGTCCGCCGGATTTGGAACTGAGGAATCTGCCGGTAAGAGGGTTAGGCGATGCCAACATGTAGCCGTTTGGAGATAGCAAGAGATTCGACATGGTTCGATCAAGATTTCGAGTTGGGTTTTTTTTTTTGGTTCTGTCTTTGGGT